AAATATCTGTCAACATGAAGAGAGGCACATACTTTAAACCCTTCATCCCACTTTTGAGAATCTATTCTGTGGAAAGTACATGTTCTTCCTAACATTTACTATACATTAAAATACACATACACACACACGCATGCACGCACAGAACTATATATGAATTTTTGTGGAAGGATGTCTATAGCAGCAGTGTTCATTGTGGCAAAAATCTGGAAGTAACCTTTATGTTTATTAAGGATGAAATTTTTGAATAAATTATGCATATGTGTACAATAGAATATTTTGCAGTTATTAAAGAATGATATAGTTTTAAAATACGTAATCGGAGAAATGTTCATGCTATATTGTTAAAGAAAATACAAGAGAAATTTGTAGAGCACAAACTCATTTTTTGAAAAACAAAGAAATAAAGGAAATTGTGCCTGCACACATGTATGTATGCATGTGGAAAGAGAAGTGAAAAAAACCCCACAACATTAGTTACCTTAAAGGACAGTTTTCGAGGGGACTGGGTTGGGGCAGCTTGTGCATCTCTTTACTGCTTGACCTGTTCCATTGGTTGTATACTAGTTTTGTCTTTTTAAACCAATATAGTAAAATATAATTAAAGTTACTAGGAGGTATCAGGGAAAAAAGTTTAAAAAAAAAGGGAGGTTTTCAGTTTGAGCTCCATTAGAAATTATGGTTTCCTTTCATCTTTTGAATATATTTTAAATTTCACAAAGATTCTATGAATCCATTTTTCTTTGTAAAAAAAATATGTAACAGATAAACCTAAAGTTTGCTTTAATCATACCACTTATTCTCCACTATCCCAAGAAGTAATCACTGTTATTAATATGCTAAGTATTCTTCCTGGCCTTTCTCTTGCACTTATATACCATTATATGTACCCATTAAAAATGCAAAATGTTGTATCGAGGTACTTTGGTTTCCTTTGTTTTATGAATGATTTTATAATGGTACACAATTTTGCAAGGTGTTTTTTACTTACTAATATGTTAGGAATTGTTCTCCATGCCAGTTCAAAGCTATCCACCTCATTTTTTAAACTACTGAATCGAATTCCATAATAAATGGGTAACATGATTTATCTGACTCTTCTTTATATGGACATTTAGGATGTTTCCAAATTTTTATTATTAATAAATAATGTTTGATGAATATTTTTGGGTATTTATGCTTCAGGCTAAACCACATGCCTGCAAGTGGGATTGGTCTCTAGTGTGGTATGTACCTCTGAAATTTTAATAGATGTTGACACATGGCTCTTCAATGTGGATACACTACGTTACAATATGGTGTTCCTACCAGCTCCCACACAATGATATTGTCAAATGATTAAGTTTTTGCTAATCCAATAGGTAAAAAAGCAGTATGCCAAAATATTAGTTTGTGTTTCTTGTATTACTAGTGAGGCTGAGAACGTTTTGGCTATTTTTGTTTTCTGGTTTGTGAATTGTTTTTCATGTCTTTTCATTCACTGGGTTGAATTTTTCTTTAATTGATGTTTAGGAGTTCGTAACATATCCAGAACACTAATCTTCAGTCTGATATACATAATGACCAAACCACTCCTGTGCGCACCACTTGCATTTCAACTTTGCTTTTGGTGTTTCTGTTGTAGTTTGGAGTATTTTTTCCCCTTAGAAATGTGTTTATATCAAGTTTTCAAATGTAATGGTATAATGTTGAATATGGTATTAGCTGTGTTCCATTTTTTGGTTGTTGCTGTTGAGTATCGTGGAAGCGTGCTTTCCCATTTTCCTTGATCAAATTGCCAAAGCTTCATCTTTCTTACTGGCAATTTCCAAGGTCAACTTTTAACTTAAAAATCAAAAGTGTAAGTCTTGTCTTATATTTCTTTTTTATTACTTAATAGCCACTTAAAAATTTAGTTTTTTCCTACTTTCTTTGGGTTTATTGTGCTCCTCTCTTCTCTTTATACTTTACTTAATATATATCTTAACTTAAATTCACACTTTAACTTTTCCTAGTGTCAGATATGAGCAATTAAGGACAAATAAATCATGTTTAGAAGCTAAAATTTCATCCAATTAGAGCATGGTGCTGATAACACGAAGATCTGGGGTTCAATTCCTGTACTGGTCAGCAATAAATAAATAAATAAATAAATAGATAAATAGGTAAAATAAAACTCCATCCCTCAGGAGCTTCTGTCCCTTGCAGCGATCCCTCCTTATTCCCAGGCCCCCAGAGCAGGGAGGGGCACTGCTGTAACCCCCCGTGACCCACACTCACCCTGCCCTGCTCCTTTTCGCTTTCGTTTCTGATCTTCTCTTGCAGACCTTTTTTTCTCTTTGCGTCTCTGTCGGAGTGCTGTTTTTGGATCAGTAATCCAGGCTTGATAAACAAACTGAAGGAAGAAAGTTGAATTATTTTCTGGCCTTTTAAGAATTTGAAATGAAAAGAAAAGGTACCTATTCCATGCTTCCTGGCTTTTGGAATTTTTTTTCCCCTCCCAACACAAACTAAATATCCCTCTCCCACCTCAGTATACTGAGCTGATCTTTGCCTACCTCCATTGCCATGAGATAAAATATGAAAACATGTTGTAGGAATATATCTCATTTGGTATTACAGACAATCATGAGATAAACTTAGTATGTTCAAACCACTGTTTCTCCCAAATCCCCAAATGCCACCACCCTCTGTTACTTTGATACTTAGTGACTGACTCTTTTGCAGTACACACAATAGGACTAAGCTGGAAGCCACGCTAAGTATTATTAGAGTAGTTTCTCCCATCACAGATAAACATGGAGTCAAAAATAAAACAACACCTTTAACAGTATCATTTAGTTTGGGAAAATATTTTTGCACATTCGATACTCTCCCTTTTGAATAACAGCTATTACCAGCAACTTGAGGACCTTCGTAGATTGATTACTCTTTTGAAAGGAAAAATAATGTGACAGTAAGGTTAAGGAGTTATTCCAGAATAGTACGGAAGGAGAACGGTGGTGCTTTTTGTGGCCTTTTGTCATTTTCATTCAAGAGCTGAAAATAGTTGCATTAATATATACTATAACCGATAACCAGGAATGAGTGATTTTGAATGGCCCACCCACCAGTAGTATCCCCAGCCATGCACAAGGAACACAAAGAAAACCTCGATACACAGAGTCAGCCACGTAGAGTCATGAAGCCAAGCGAGCATGCTTCTCATGCAGCGCAAACACGCCTGCTCTCAGGGAAGCTGGGTTTTCCATTATGATGACAAAGTTAAATAAATGTTTTGCGGGGGCTCTTGTAAACCCAGATATTTTCATTTTAGTCTATATTATTTTCAGATTTCTGAAATCTTTGAAAAACACAGCATGAGCAAACCATTGGCACTCTAATGTCAGTAGAAAATAAAGAGGGATTAAACTTTTCCATATGTGGAAATGTAAGGGTCATAAGTTACTAAGGAAAAACATTTCTTTTTTTCTCACTGGTAGAAATCTGAATTTTAGGGCAATTAACAAATATGCAACATCTGTATTATTTCTGAATAACAAATCCAGGAGGCAAAAAAATTATCCTGTTTTATGCCAAAAGACATTTTAATAAATGAGGAGATGAATTGGAATTTGAAGGAGATGGGCTGAATAAAGGAATTTATGATAGATGTTTACCGAGCATGTTAAATGAGAATCCTATCATGATATCTCTGAGATTTAGTACATCCACAAGCAAATTTGCTTCAGCATAATATTGGTTATTTTTAAAGAATCTGAACTACTAAGCACAATAAATGTTCAGGTTTGAGAGCAACATTTGGTGACATTTTCTTTAAAAAAAGAAGTGTTATTAAAATGTTGCTTTTAGATAATGTGAGAATCCCAAAAACAGAAAATAAAAGAAAGCCAGGATTTGTGAATATAACAGGCGTCCACGTTGGAGGAACTCTTTTGCTCTGAAGAAAGAAGAAAGAGCTGGGAGGGAGGAAGGGGAAAGAGGAAGGCGTGCAGGTAGGAGTGAAGGAGTCTTGTAGAAAGGGTGCGTGCCGTTAACATTTTGATGATTAAAAGGGAAATCCTGATTCTACAACTGATCCCTAACTGAGGAATTCTATGAGTGCTGTCTCACTGAGATGAGTATTTAAAATCGAGAAATTGAAAATTTAATGCAAGTAAGGGGGAAAGGTGAGAGGGGGAGAGAGCCACACGACAAGTCCTTATCTATAGATAAATTACATTCATGTTGATGGTTTGATGTACAAACATTCTGCCGTTCCAGGAACGTTTGACGGAGGGAGGGTCGGTTTTGCCTGTCTATTTCAGAAAAATGATACCAAAGGAGGAGGAGGAAAAGTTCCAATCCTTATTAAGTCAAGAAATGGATGGTTCTCACTGAACTTTCAATTCTTATTTTGTGGCTGTCACCGTTATTCAACTCGGTGGGTCTTTCTCAGGAATCAGATACAAACACCATAAAATACATGGAAATGTACATAAAAGACCTTTGGGGTCTTCAAATGGCCACTGCCACTAGCACACTGAACTTTCAATTCTTATTTTGTGGCTGTCACCGTTATTCAACTCGGTGGGTCTTTCTCAGGAATCAGATACAATACAAACACCACTAACCATATGTAGAAAAATACATGGAAATGTACATAAAAGACCTTTGGGGTCTTCAAATGGCCACTGCCACTAGCATGTGTTCCTGACTTTATCTTAAATTTTATCTCAAATAACTACATTTTAAATTTTAGGGGAAAGTGGGATTCATTTTACTAAAACCTTATTATGCAAAAATGTGTTTATTCTTTAAAGCAGGGAGAGCTTTACTGAAGTGGAGATCTGTAAACTGAAATTGGTGGGAAGTTTCATAATCTGTTTTTAATTCAGGTGTGATTCAGCGCCTTCATGTTTTCTGTAAGATTTTTTTTTAAGTAAGATGGGAGATAGTTACATTGTAATCTTTCACTTAAATAAATTCTGAATAACGAATTGAGAGACTTATATGGTAGTCACACAAGAGGAAAGAAAAAGATTCCTAGTGAAGCAGCAATGGTGAATATTAAACTAAAAATTAGGATCCTGGCATTTTAAAAATGAAAGGACCAGGAGGTCTGGATCTGCCACACCAGGTGAACCAGCACATGTGCTTCACCTAGAGCTTTTGAGAAATGTGGAATTTCAGGTTCCTCAGGACGTGCTGAATCAGAACCTGCACTTAAGCAAGATCTCCAGGTAACTGTGAGAAGCAGTGGTCACTGTCACTATCCAAACCATTTGCTTAACACTTGAGGAGCATAAGACCAAAGAGTATTAGTGACTGAGTTCAAGAGAAAGAGCATTCTATAAAGTACAAGAATAGTAATTTGTTATCTATGATTTTCAGTAATGAAATGACTACAGTGCAGGTAGCTGAGCCACTCCTATTATGCATTAGGTTAATCAACAAATAATTCTTTTAACAGTTTGTTTAAAAGCACACTCATGAATCTCGGGGGAGTGAGGGCTCTGCAGACTGTGCAGCTGAACAGCCTAGAGAGGAGCCGTGCTGAATTCAGAAACTGGAAGAGGAGACTCAATTTAGGAAGATGGAGACTAAAGGAAGCCCCCAAAGAAATCTTTTATTGGCTTATCCATCCAGAATTATACCAGCTTTCTGAGAAAAATCATCATACTTTTTTACTCATCATACATGCAATCAGATGTGACCCTTTTAAAATGAGATGTGACTTAGGCAAAACCATGAGAAAGACAGAAAGTATGTGTGTATCTGCATTTTCTCTTTCTATTTTTCGATAGACTGTGGTGTAAGCTCAAAAGCAAGAACCAAATAATAAGAAATTTGGCTTCTGAGAACTCTTTTTTGGAAAACTTGTCCCAATATTTTACATTCCTATCGTTGCCTCACTGTACGATCCATAGAACAGAGAAAATGCAGATAAAGGGATATGTTTGTCTAAAGTTCTACGGAGCAGAGAGTCACACACTACACATCAGTAAAACATCAAATACCTTTGCAGCTCTGATTAAATACTGAAGAATAGTTTTGGGAAGTTTAATGACAGACTTTGGCAAGGCTAAAATGGCTGATGCAAACTTCCCAATAGCTCTCTACAAAGAAGGACAAAGCAAGAGTAATTAGTAGAAAAAAGCCAAAAACTAGTAATTTAACATATGACGTCAGTATGAGTTTGTCTCTACAGTTACATCAACTAGGTTAAAACGTGCCAGTCATTGAAGCTAGAATGAAATGGCTCTGCCTGTAAGTGAGGAATAAAAAAGAAAATAGTCAATCCTTGCACGTAATCCATCAACCATGGTGAACAGGGTCACGTTCTCTCCTTTGCCGCATGATGAGTGGTGGTTAGAAAAAACTCATTAGAATGAAAATAAACCAGTTAAGTCACTAGCGTTCGACAAGCCAGCTGCACACATGCACACAAACGGTCATCAAGAAACATACACAGGGAGCAAGGTGTCTCCATGAAGAAAGTGGCTTTTCAGTTTCGTTGGAAAGACAGGTGTGGATGGAACCTGCCAGCTTGTGAAGGCCTGGCCAGCAAACTGACAATGGCTGATGGCTGTCAGTCTATGTGTCTCATAGCATAACAAATGGGAAGCAGCCCCAGTATGTGGTTCACCGGTAAAAGAAAAATATACCACATTTTCATCCCACGTGTAACTCTAATCTAAAGATGACAAAGCCTCATCTTTAACAAGCATTG